ATATCGAAATCGAAGCGAAAACGGACGAAATAATTGGTGTTGAACAGGCGAGGAGCGAAGAATGGCCTCGCAAATACGAACCGAGAGGAAGGTTCAAGCAGGGGCGGATCCAGGATTTTTCGTACGTCAGTCAAAGTTTTCGGATTTACAATCTAGTTTGCGAGCGGCGAATGCGCGAGGCACCTAGGGGGGGGGGGGGGTTTGTCCCCCAGGAATTTTTATATTTTTAAACCTCAGAAACGCAATTTGCATCACTCTGAAAGCAGCTTCAACAAAAAATTAACTTCATGAAATGGGAGATAATTATAGCAACTATCAGCCTGACTGACTCCCACAACTCGCTCCTTAGGGAAAAGTAAAGGGGAAGTACTTGCAGAAATGTGATCATTGTGGAAGATGTTTCATTTTATCAAATTACGGATTGCTAGTATTATGTTTAACTATCTCATGATAGTACTACACTTATTTGTGTTGCCTAATAGCCTTGTTGAGTCATTGATCACTTGACTAGTAATCACTACAGTGTCATATTACTCCAATAAACATATATCAATATTAATCTATAAAACCTGACCTTTATATCCTATGTATACTGCATTAATGCATTTATATAGGTTGTCTTCCATATTAATAGCCTTCTGAGTTCTGACGGTCCTTCAACCGCAGAATTACAAATATGCAAATTTGTTGTGTAAATCAAAATTCGTAGCTAAATCTAAATCAAGATACGCGTATTCATGTTACAATTTTACGCAAGCATGGCGCGCATCTTGTTCGCTTATAAATATTGTTATGCTGTCTAAAACGAAATAAAATTTACATATCACATTAAATTTACCTTATTGCACTTCAGAATAAAGATCTCGGCGCCAATACTTCTACTCAAACCGTCAAACTGTAGTTCGTGCTATTCGTGGCGCTTACGCCGCTTAGCAACTGCTCACTGAATGGAACTCTCCGATATTTAGTGTTGATTTTCCTCCCAAGATCAGCGCAACAGTCTTGTAAGACAGCTAAATCATTCACCGCAAATGCGGATTGAATCGTTTCGTGAATACTACAAGGACTGGAGTTTGGAGCAGCAGACATTTCCGAATTTTCCGTAGATATCTTTAAATTGAATCTTTCGACAAAGCTCCAACATGACACTTCGAAAGAGCGCGCGCTGTGAAAGACTTTACCACGCGTCAAATATTAATGATATTCCGACTAATGGGGCGCCCCTGACTTTTGTAAATCGGTCAGAACTCCCCACAGATCAGTCAAAATCGAAAAAAATCGCTTGTTTCCGTGGCAATAAGCGTCTAGACCAATCAGAACACTGGATTTTGACTTTTTGACTGACCGACTTTGCGTATGTCAGCTGCTCATTGACTTGACTAAGCTCGTCGGCTCAACCACTGTATGAAATTTGATCACTGGACTACAGTTCGAGTGGAATGTTAATTGCTAGCGCTGCATGATAATAGATACTGGACTATTATAAGGTGTCGCTGCATGATAAAAAATAACTGGACTATTGGTCGAATATTTAAGACTTTAATTAAGTTTGCGATTTTTACGTTAGTCGCGTGACTGGTTTGACGACCCCTAGATCCGCCCCTGGGTTCAAGTCTACATTCTAAGGCGAGTGTGTTCTGCTCAGCACACCTTGGTGTGTTTTATAGCACACCTTGGTGTGTTTTGTAGCACACCTTGGTGTGTTCAGTGACAAGAAAACACACCTTGTGTGCTATTTTAGCACACCTTGTGTGCTAAATAACACACCAAGGTGTGTTGTTTAGCACACCTATTTTTAAGAGTGTGTTCTTGTCCTTGTCTTTAATGTATGTCTACTTATTGTATTGTATCAGGTTGGTCTTCACATTATTATTATTACAATATTGCCTGCTCCCAAAAGGGCTTTTCAGCAGGTAATTACAAATCATTTATATGCTACAAACAATATATATACACCCACAAACATACATACATACATACATACATACAAACACAAATTAAAATTTATAATTATTAGTAATGTCACTATTAATAAAATCCATACAGTAAAAACGTTTATATGCTAATTTAAACAAGCCCAAATTGTCTAAAACTATTAACTACTTTCTAAAAATCCATGCAATAAATGACATTTATATTCTAGTTTAAACCGGTCCAAAGTGTCAATGTCTTTAATATGATTTGGGAGTGAATTCCAAATAGAGACTGCGCGATAATGAAACGTTCGCTGTCCAGAAGCCGAATTATACAGTGAAATGTCTAACTTATCCTTATTTCTGGTGTTAACACTGTGAGTCTCTGATCTCATTTCGAATTTGTCACACAAGTATGACGGAGCTAACCCTTTCATGCACTTAAATGTCATAACCGCATCCCTGAGTTTTAACATACACTCAACTGGAAGCCAAGCTAACTGCTGAAGAATAGGCGTCACATGGTCATATTTTCTAATTCCAGTAATAACGCGTGCCGGCCGCGAAGTTTTGCACGCTTTGGAGTTTTGATATGTTCTTTTTCGAGGTGTTCGACCAAACAGAGGAGCAGTAATACATTTTACTGAAGACCAATGCATTTATAATAAGGGATAAAGTGTGTTTGTCCAAAATATGCTTGACTCTGTTGATTTGGCATAATTCTGTGATACATTTTGAGACGATATCGACAATATGTTTCTCGTAAGTCAAACTTGAATCCAAAGTCATTCCCAAATCTTTAACAGTCTGAAGTGGGATTATTTTCTCACCAAGAACAGTTATATGGAAATCTGTGCCAGAGAGTTTTTTCAGCATTTGACTTGTACCCAGTAATAGAAGTTTCGTTTTCTTTGGATTCACTAGCAGACTATTTATACAACACCATGCGGTAATTCTTTCCATATCTCGTGTAAGTTTAAACGCAGTAGTTTCGATATCCTGAATTGGAAATGCCAGATAGATTTTAGAATCATCCACATAAAATTCCAAAGAGGACTCTTTTCGAACATTGGGCAGGTCATTAATATATATGTTAAATAATGCCGGCCCAAGAATAGATCTTGAGGTACCCCTCGAGTTGTAATACATGTTTCCGACAATGTTGACCCAATACGTACTATTTGGCTTCGTCCCGATAGATAACTTTTAAACCATGCCAACACTGATGTAGACACACCAATGGTTTGAAGTTTCACTAGTAGAATTGAATGATCTATACTATCAAATGCTTTGGATAAGTCTATTAAAACTAAGGCCGCAACTTCTTTACGATCCATAGACTGCAAGATTTGATCTGTTATAAAAATAATGTTTAATATTTCTGTAGAATGTAATTTTCGATTGCCACTTTGGTGTTCAGTATATCTTTTCCTTTGCGAGATATATTTTCCTTTGCGACTCATGTCCTGTTGACCATACCTTCCAATCATTGTTATAATTTTTTGTATGATTGTAAAGTTAGTAAATAAATAAATAAATAAATATTTATTACAAACTTTTTTTCACGGTAGAACAGCCACTAAGTCATGAAACTGCAGGCTTATTTCCAGTTAAAATCGAAGAAAGAAAAGTTTTGTACTTTTGTAAACTTTTTAACGAAATTTAAAACAAAAAAATGCTGTAAAACAGCAAAATAGGTCTTTTCAAAATGAAAAACATTTACTTTAATAGACATTCGCATAACGTCGAAAACCGTCCATGACATAAACAAAATGGAGGACAACCTCGCACTTCGCTATGTTTTCATATACCAGGGTATAATTACCCGTGCGGAATTAGAACACTCGCGCGGCGCTTCGCGCCGTCGGCTTCGGGATTAATCCTCGAAAAATACACCAGTCAGTATAAAATTTAATTAGTACATGTTTCCAATACACTAGAGTTATATACTTCTTGGAATGGTAGAGAATCATGTATTGTATTGCCTGTAGAATATGTAATTTAAGAATACACTCTTAGTTTATGTGTGCAGTGTTAACCATTTATTTTGCGGGAAACGTGTATTATAAAACTAGTTCTCGTTCAGATCAAAACAGAAACTGGACAAGACAGGAGAACGGCCAATGTTTAGTACTACAGGGTGTCTCAAAGAAAAGAACCTTTGAGAAATTCACTTCGTTGTTATAATTTGAATGTCTGAGTACTATGCTGAACCCATGACAGCATGAACACAATTGAATCGAATTTTATGAATGAATAAACTGTTAAGTAGAAACTTTAATTTGGTTTCGTCCAACGTACATGAGAGTTGTGAGTTGAACCATTTTTTAATGACCTGACGTTACTAATTCCTAAGTCGTTTTATCGTTTAATTATCACGTACAATAGACCATTCTTATAATGATGTCAAACGCGGAAAAACACTTAATGCGATGTCCCAAGGGACAATAAAAATGATGTTTTTATGAAATTTATTGGCTCGCCAACGACTTGCCCTAGCTATCGAGACATCGTATAAAATGGATTCATGTAATAAATGATATTAAGAATTGAGTGGAGTGGTCTGTGACGGTTTAGGGTGTCTGCATGAACCCTATAGCTTGGGGTGTGCTAATGAGGTTGCCATCCCTACCTTATAAAGCCCAGCCCTTTGATTCCCATGCTTAGTCACTAGAAACGCTTCCCTCCCACCTCACTCTTCTGTTGGCTGGTTGGGTGTAATCCTCAATCCCTTGTGTGCTGTACATTGTTGTGCTGCAACAGAAATCGCGAGACATCGTTGCCCCTAGTAGTACGTTTTGTTGTCGTCCATCTGACGCGCGTTTATTCCGCGTTTCGTTCGAACCGTCTCGTTTTCCGTCGGTTTGGCATCGTTTCGCCCCTGTCGATGTGATCGCGATGGATGAGCATCGTTCGTGGCCGTTACTTTGTCGTTCCACTGGCCCACGCCTCTTCCCTTTGACGTAATTGTGACCGTAACAGTTTTCCTGACCTCTCGTATATTACTTTATTACTATAGCTTGCATGTTTACCTCGTTTCGGAGCAGATTTTCGAGAACAACAATAATATAATTAGTGACTCAGTTAGGTAATTCGTCAATACCCAAGTGCATGCATGGCCATGAAATACTACGATTGACCCATGGTTATGGTCTCAATCGAATTACCTCTTCAACGGTACTAAAACCCTCTAAAACTCCGACTAATCGTGTGACGGAGCGATAATAGAGAGGTTAAGATACCCCGGTTCCAGTTTACGGGTACGAGTATCACCATTTTGTTTACCATTTTTTGCTCATGTCAGCATTTTTACCCGTAATTTCTACCCGTTTCCCCGCGGTTAACCATGGTCTACACGTAAACGACAAACGGGTACCGGTGTACTCTGTTTACTATTTGTGGGCCGTTTAAAAAGTTAAAATTTTCAACATTTTACCCAAATAAATAATGCACACATGCTCGTCAAAGTTTTCAACAATTTATGGCGAACCTGAACAGGGAAAGTTACCATTCTCTAATCGGAGTATCTTGGATTTCTTAAGTAATAAGTTATTACCCGATTTACGGGTACGGGTACGTGTATATCACCCGTACCCATAAACCGGAACAGGGGTATCTTAACCTCTCTATTGTTAATTGGTTTTCCGCGTTTGACGTCATTATATGAAAGGTTATTTATGCAGTTTCAAAATTCATATGCTGGGACGATTAGAATGCATTCTAAACTCCCAAATGTAATGAAGCTTGGGTGTTTACAACCAAATGGTGATTTTCTTTAGACACCCTGAAGGTAATCAAGCGACCACTTCTGCACTTTAGGTTTTACACACAGCCTGCTTCTTGATAGAAGACGAAAAGGTAAAGTTATTTACAGCTATACAAGAAGCCCAGTCGTGCAATTAATGTTATCATATACTCAGGAGGTGGACAGTGCTTGTCACGCAGTTTAATAGACCTTTTTATAATGACGGAAGAATACTTAATGCGATGTCCAAAGGAGAATTTTTAGCAACAGTTCGAAATGCAAATGATTTTTTAATGAAATTTGTTGGCTCGCCAACGACTTGCATTGTCCCATGGGATATCGCATAAATTGGTTTTCCGGGCATTATAAAAAAGGTCTATCGGTTGCTCAATCATCGGATTTCCTTGCACCTAAATGCCTTTTAAACAATTTCAAAAAATTACCTTGTAAAATGGCAAAATACGCAGTATAGGGCAATATATATAAAGGGCAAAATATTCAGTATAGTTATATTCAGCGAAACGTATAATTCACCGCCTCTGCTAACAGTGTCACAATAATGAGTTTGCATGCAATCAACAACAGCGACGACAAAAAGCAAAATCACTAATATTTTTGTTAAAACGTACATTACTAAATTTTAAAAGTACTGATCTTTCTTTTACACAACCCCGAAATTTCCTGAAGTAACAAGAGTAAGTGAATTTACATAAAACACTCCAAAAGCTTGAACGTTTTACTCTGTACATGTCGGCGTGGTTGCGAACCGTGAAAACGACGTAAATGACGCAGTAGTTTGAACAACGATGGCATACTAGAATTGTTAATTTAGCACATTATAGTGGCCTTGTTTTATAGTTAAGAGGCTATTGTTGATGAGCACGATCTCGTTGCTTTTTGTAGAGGCTATTGTTGATGAGCACGTTCTCGTTGCTCGTTGTAGAGGCTATTGTTGATGAGCACGTTCTCGTTGCTCGTTGTAGAGGCTTTGATGAGCACGTTCTCGTTGCTTTTTGTAGAGGCTATTGTTGATGAGCACGTTCTCGTTGCTCGTTGCAGAGGCTATTGTTGATGAGCACGTTCTCGTTGCTTTTTGTAGAGGCTATTGTTGATGAGCACGTTCTCGTTGCTCGTTGCAGAGGCTATTGTTGATGAGCACGTTCTCGTTGCTGTTGTGTTTACCAAACCCTCCAATAGAATATAAAGGCTCTTTTCCACTCATCGCAAAACCAACTCGCAAGCTCGCTGCGAGTGATTGCATCTAATTAAAATAAACTTTCGAGCATTGTGATTGCATGAAAGTACTCGCAGCGAACTTGCCGGTTGTTTTTTGCAATGAGTGGAAAAGAGCCTCAAGGCGGATTTCCATTCGGTGGTAAAAGTCGCGAGATCGACTTTTTGCGACCACTTTCTTTTGAAATACAAGCAATCAAGCACAGCGGATGAGGTTGACTGCACGCATTTGAAAAGAAAGTGATCGCAAAAAGTTGATCGCGCGACTTTTTCCACTGAATGGAAATCCGCCTTTAGGCTGACTAGATCTCTCCGAACAATCGCCAGCGAAAGGCGCCAGTGTTCGGATGCAAAACGGTTGTTACCTAGGTAACACTAAAAATAGCGAATTAAAATGACTACAATTATTAACGTGAATGTCATGCGAGGGACTCTACATTATTGTTGTCTCGGCCAAACGAAATTTCCCTTCGTACGAACCGGTTTGATGAACTGTGGTTGTTTCTTTCTTTGTTTCCTATATAGAAAAAAGTTTACGTGGATGATACGTATTCTTTTATTTACCAATATACACTTCCAGAAATTTGCAGGTTCATGCAATGAAAACTATAGAAACACATGCAATGAAAACCAAAACTTATTTATTTAAAAACAATGGATTACATTGTCAGGCTGGATTTCAAGTTATAGATTCGTGTACACTCCACCAAATTGCTACACAGTCAAGCAAGTGTACATGTCTATACTTTATATGTTATCGTGTTAGTATAGGTAATAGGAAGGTTTCGAGTGCAATTTGGATGGAACATGCACAAGTGTACGAGTTTTTTAAAGAACATCGAAACAGCACGAGTCCGAAGGACGAGTGCAATTTGAGCTCTTTGAAAAACTCACGAGTGCATGTTTTATCCAAATTTTACGAATATACATAAAAAGGTTCGAGATTATTGTAGTTTTAACATACGTTTGAAGCGAACTGTCCACTGACAAATTTTCCTGCTTTGTTATATTATTATTCAACGCTGAAAGTTTGAAAATTTCACTCAACTATGTAAGTTTGTTAGGGTTGGTTAAGGTAAAGTCTTTTCCATTTACAGTGCGTCTACTGTAAGTGGGGCCACTAACGCCACTTATATAACACTAACCAATCACATTGCAGAACAAAAATAGAAATCCAATCAAACTAAAGCTCGTCCAATCAAAAGAAAGCATGGAGTTCGCTTCAGGAAGCCAGTAACTGCAGTGTTTACTTTTCAAGTCTATTTTTACCGTTTGTTGATGCGGCTAATGCGCCGTTTGTTGATTTTTTTCTATTTTTGTTCTGTAATGTGATTGGTTAGTGTTCTCTAAGTGGCCCCACTTACTGAAAGAAAGATAGAAGCCATAATTTCCACTCTAAAATTTTAACTAAAATTTTACTTATGTAGCGTGGCGCCATGTTTGTTTTGTTTTCAATCCGTCTCTGACCGTTACTTGAAGACTGAGTAGACTGCTTTAAGGTCGCTTTTAGGTTTCTTTGTTTTCAACCACTCAGATCAATTTGTTACAGATTTTTGCACTGTTGTTACAGACGGTTGCACTTTTGTTACAGAATTTTACACTGTCATTACAAAATTCTGCACTGTTGTTACAGAATTTGACTGCTGTTTGAGATTAACTGCACTGAAATTCACAGTCGAGTATTATTTTTATGTGTATTAAATTATTAACTCACAGAATGAATTGGAAGCTATTTAAAACATGCCAATACAAGGTGTACAGATAATGTAGAAGATATGAATTAATTATTAAACATAATAAACGCGCCTTTATAATAAGCCGATTATACTCAATCTCTTGAAATCAATTAATCGGGGTTCAATTCCTGCACAGCCGCATGTCAGAAGAATGACTGCTGTTTGAGTTCACTAAAGATCGCAGGTTTTGTCCAATTAGTCCGGTTCCCTTGTGCAGTTAAAACAGAAGCAACTTAAGTTGGCACTTCTGCCAAACCAGCGGAAATTGATATAGCTTTCCACTATAAATATAGTTGCCGCATGTAAGCAGGTAGCAAAACGTTTGCAACATGACTAACCTTGGACAGTTGACATAACGTGTACATCATCTTCTTTCGCTTCCTCATCCACAGACACGTTCAGGTTGTTATACCCACCATGCCCAGCACTTTCAGATTTACTTCTCTCTGCCTGTAGTCTCGTATTCTTTTCAACCATTTTCTGGTTTATATCCGAACCAAGTCTCTTGTTAGGTGAACTTGTGGAATCTGAGAAAACGAATGATGTCAATGGTGTGGTTTGGTTAGTTTGAATGTGAAATTACTGATGAGGAGAATGCAATTGCTAATTAACTAACAAAGACATGGAACATATGGAAATATAAAATATGAACGGATTAAAGTGCATATGAAACATTGTATTATTTAATACAACTATAAAAACGTAGAGTAACTTCTTTTGCAGTTTTTAGTTCCGCTTTGTTAATACGAAATATTTCAGTAAGTTTGATAAACGTGTGAAGGTTTTTACGTCAAAAAGATGCATGATACGTTTTCTGAAAATGTTGTATATTCGACATATATCAACCAAGACAGTTCCTGCATGGTCCAGTAGTGCGATCGTAGTTGTTATAGTTCTTTTAAGTAGGACAACAAAACGTTCTGTTTCATATGCATTTTAAAGCACATTTTTCTTACTCTTTGAATGGGGAGTAGAACTTTTGCCCAAGACAGTTGAGAATGTGCTGCTGCTGCTGCTGCTGACAACATCTCGTATCTGAAAACATAAGGCGTGTATTATGACAGATTAAAACTTCTAGCCTAATTCTCGTGAAATGTCAAGTGTTTTTAATTAATCTTTTCCTGAAAACGAAATCTTAAATGTGGAGATTCGTTGTGTTAGGTCTGAACTACCTAAAAAAATACGAGCGTAAGAAATATTCTGCAAAAAGCTGCCGTGTTTTCTTTTCTAAGCTAGCTGAAAAAGATATCTCAGGCGTGTAGATAGTACAGCATTCAATATAATATTATTACATTGCCCCCGCCTGGTTTCAAACGACTTAAAAAAGACCGGTCGTCTAGTGTTATAGGTAGATCTAAAATAAGATGCGGGGCTTGAAACTAATTTACCTGACACACATATGGTGGAGTTCCAGAGCATAGGTATTATACTGATTTAAATAAGCTATGTAGTTTATGGCTGAAGTGCGAACTTATTGTAGTATATGAACAACACGTTTGAGTTATCTGTTCAGGTCGTTTCAGACACAAATCACGACAGCTGATGGTAGAATACTATGCATGCATCCTGAACCTCGCGTTTGAGATATTTTTGGGAGGAAATCCAGGCACAAACCACGGCAGCTTATTGTAAAAAATATTGCCTACTATGGACAGCTAACTTCAGATATCCTCGCGGCACTTACCTGTTTATTAAAGGCACAATGAAACAAGAAAATTAGCATTCCTTGCGCAGAATTGAACACGGCAAAAAGGTAGCGGAAGAACAACGTTTCTTTGTTGAAAGTCATCAAGCCAAACACCCAAGTCAAACCTAGGATTGGGAAGATTACTACAGCGGCTTTTACACCAACTCTGACTTTACCAATATTGTCCCGTTGTTTGATATTGTGAGAGTTCATCATTGTACGTAGCATCATGACAAACACGAATGTGTTGGCCTGATAGATGAAAGAAATAATATAAGCAAAGATGGACGAAGGAAACCCGTCATATATTTTATAACACTAATAGCAACATCTGCTAAACGATATTTCGTTACCGGGATCACAGATACACGCACAAACTACATGGCTAAAGAATGAGACGAGAGCACCTACCAATATGATGAGGAGAGCAGGTCCCACAAACGCCCAAATCACGTTATTTTTAACACTAAGCCAACATGAAGAGTCTGTTCCATATCCTTCTCCCTGAGTCGCTCCAAGTGATACAACAACAATCAATAAAGGAATGCCTGTATTGATATTGATATTGATATTGATATAACGAGGGGTAAGCACGTCGTGGTTTTTACTTGCATTTCGGGATTTATTATTAATATTATATATTAATATATATTTACACAGATTTGGACTTGTTCAGTCACTGAAAGCTGTTATCGGCAAGCTACCAGTAAGTTAGATTAAGTACAATAAATGATATGCTAAAGGATTTCGTAGATGGCCCCCCTGGAAGGAATAGAGCGTTTGCATGTAACGTCATAAAATTTCTAAAAGCTTAAGCGTTTAACATATATAGATGCCCATTTTATATATTTTGTATGTCCTTAATACGTGTATTCCTGGCAAATTTCAAGTCGATTCAGTAATTCCTTCGCGAGTTAAAGGTGATTGAATAATTTATATTGCTGACGTCAGCATTATTTTGAAAGCGTTATGAGCTACGCGATTTTCCAAACATAAGTCGAAATATTTCGGTGGGCTTTCAAAAGTTTTATATAATTAATATCAAACATAATTGTGGACCTGTGTGATAAAATATAACTTTTCTTGAGCCTTTACTACACGGCCGCCATGTTGGTGGTCCAATATTACGCAATCTCAGACCACCAACATGGCGGCCGTGTAGTAAATGCCCAAGGAAAGATATATTTTATCACACAGGTCCTCAATTCTGTTTGATGTTAAGTATATAAAGCTTTTGGAAGCACACAGAACTATTTCAACTTAGGTTTGGAAAAAGAAAGAACTTATTTCAAATAACTTATTTCAACTTAGGTTTGGGAAACCGCGTAGCTTATAACGGCTTTTCAAAATAATGCTGACGTCAGCAATATAAATTATTCAATTATTCATTACTGTATCGACTTGAAATTTGCCAGGAATACTTGTAGTAAGGATATACAAAATATATAAAATGGGCAACTATATATGTTAAACGCTTAAGCTTTTAGAATTTTTATGATGTCACATGCAAACACTCTATTTAATTGAACCTGCAGCGCTGCGATTCCGGTGCAGAGTCCAGTTGTTCAGCTTTAACCTAACGTAAGGTGCATGAGTAAGTATCAAGATTTTGGGAAATATGAGCCACTGCCTCGCAGGAGATGACAGTAAATCGGCAGTTATCAGATTGAGAAAATGGTGTTTATTCTTTTCATTATATATAATATAGTGTTATATTTGGTTGAAGAAGACTTGAGAGATGATGTACTTGAAATATTATCTTACTCTTATTTTTTTATTTGTGCATGCCTACTGATATTTTTTATTTCCTGTAATCTGATTGGCTGCAGCAGCGGGCAGCTTTTCACGATATCTTGACCGTGGTCCAACATTGCTATTGTTTTAGCGACAAACCGAGGAGTGAAGACAATTTTCAAACTCAAAACACTACCCAAAAAGTTTAAAAATCCACCCTATCCATACTAAAGACAGTAAAATTAATACAGTGAATTGGCTTCAGCGGACTTAGTGCCAAGCCTGAAATGTACTTTTCTCCGGCCAAAATGCGAAAAAACCCAACATAAACATCGAAAAAAACTGGCCAGTGCTACATGTTTTGATTCAAGTGTTCCACATATATTCAGCTATTCTTCGAAAATATACGTATAAATAGTACAACGTACAATTAATATTTAAAAAAAATACCTTAAATGCCAAGTTTAAAGACAATTCCTGGGCTTATTTCGGTCATAATTGTTTTTATAAAAGTTGTAATGAACAAATTGCTTTTCGGCAACTAAAATTTGTATTTTTCTGTCAAAAAGCATTTTTCAAGCATGTTCATGCTGTAAAACAAACCGGAAAATAAATATTTTACCTAGTTTACCTTCTGTTTTCTTGTTGAGTTGAAAAGCATCTATTGCAATGAATCTAAAAGCTTTTTATCCAGCTTTTATCGCGTCGTTTTAGCAATGGACAGGTTTCTGTCAAACTGAAAATACCGCGAGCCTTCGGCCTTCAAAGTTAAATAAAAACATTTCCCTTCACTTTAGTCTTTAACCAATACAGTGAATTTATTGAGCAATTGCGGTATGGGCATCTTGTAAACTGAAAGCGCGCATTCGTATTGTGTGGATGTACGTTAATTAACCAAGTTTGAGACAACCGAATGGTCAGATCATGATGGGCGAATTCATGGGAAATGGGTTTAATATCAACTGTAATTGTCAATGATCAGAATTATTATTTATTATTATTATTATTAAATCAATATTTACAGAGGGTTAAACAGCATTATTACCTCAACAATATACAGACTACTTACCCCAGCCTATGAAATTAAAGATCTTCCAGTGTTTGCCACGCACTCCTTGAAATACTTTGACCAGTAAGATGTACAGTAATATTCCCTCGCACAACATCCATCCGAACGCTGACAACACAAAGAAATGCAGAAGAGCCGCTACTGCTTTGCAGAAATTCTGTTGAAAATGAATTAGACACACTCGGCTTTATTAATTTACTTTAAAAAACCATGTTGGAGAACTTACGTGTACACAACATGCTAAGTTAATTCGCATCACCAGCAACAAACATCCGAACTGCATTGAGAATCTCTGCCTGCTCTAACCACTATGCTACCAACTTCACCATCTAACCACCATACTACCAACTTCACCTTCCAAGCACTATGTTACCAACTTCATCGCCCAAGAAATATGCTACCAACTTCACCCTCTAACCACTGTGCTACCAACGTACCTCACCCTCTAACCACTATGCTACCAACTTCACCCTCTAACAATTAAGCTACCAACTTCACCATCTATCCACTATGCTACCAACTTCACCCTCTAACAACTATGCTACCAACTTCACCATCTAACCACTATGCTACCAACTTCATCCACCACCGACTATGCTACCAACTTCGCATATAGTAAAAACATTTTTGGCAAGGAAGCTTACCGGATTATCTCTGGCAACACCCTCGAGTATAGCAAAGATATCAGTGAATCCAATGGCAACACACAAACTAACCAAAACCTTGGCGCGAGGTGACTTCAACTGTTTCCAGAAACAAATATGCAGAAGAACGGTAAGCGTGATGCCGACCAACGATATTGAACATCCAATGGTGGAAATCGTTTCTAATATTTTACGTTGAGACTCTGTTAGCTAAAAAAGTAAGAAAAATTCTTATATTGGAATATTGTGTAAAGTTTGAGATCGGATGATGATTCGATATCGTACTAAAATTTGCACTATTGCGGTGCCCGAATCGAGTTTGGCGTCGCTTTGTATTCGCTACGTTTGTTGGTACTTATCATTCTGTTAGTTGGCTACTTTCGTCGACAGAATCCAAATCCTTGGTATTTATTTGAAAGTAGTATTTCTTTGCGCTTGTGGTGATCGTGTTTCGCGCAGGCTCTGGGCCAATCTCGTTGTAGGACTGTCTGGTTTTGCCTTTTGTTCACACGAAAGACATAAAACCAAATCAGTACCATGGTCAAATTTGCGCATGGTTTCGAATTCGCCCGGTGTCGTGTGAGATAATACAACGAGTGTCAAAATAAGATTTTCAACTCCAGAAAGCTGTCCTTAAATTTTATTATTCTCCGCAGATTTCCTTCCCACCTGGGGCCGGTTGTATAAAAAAGTGACTAAAGTTAATCATAGTTAAGTGGAAATGTCATCCAATAAGAAGCGCCTTTTTGAGAGTTAATCACTATTTAACTACAAAATAGTGATTAAAAAAGTGATTAAGAGTTTTATACAACCGACCCCTGCAGTAACTTTTTAAGGTCATATTCTCATGTTTCGCGTACAATAATTTAAGGCTCAGGCATGAGTTTCTGACTGGAGTATAAATGAGTGTAATGGTCAATGAAAATATATTCGTGCGCTAAAGCTGACGGCATTAGCTGACTTTTTGAAAACCTTAATCCCACTATTTTCTTCCTCTCATCTCATTTCGTGTCCGTTTAACCGTTACCCTAAGACACACTTGACACCACAATATTTATGTCTGTTTTCGTCAGTGGCGGATATCTTGGTGGGGCGCCCTCTTCCCCCCCCCCCCCCCCCCTTCGGGGAAAATGACGACTTTTCGGAGATTTTGACCTAAAAGAGGGCTAAAAACAGCCTTTTCGAGTGCAAATGAGGGGGTTTGTCGGAAATTTGAAAGTAATTTGTCCGTAATTTAGGAGGCTTTATCTCCCACCGGAAAAAGTGGATTTCCGCCACTGGTTTTCGTTGTATACTTAAGCAGTGTTTATATGGAGCCGGGTTGTCCCGGTTAACTTGGATGATTCGTTTATTAAGCTGAACGGCTTTGATAAACATCCAAAATCACATTTCAAAGTTGAATTAACTTAGTCAGTATAGAGTTCATTCAAACGATCTTTTCTCATGACACTGTTCATCCTGGCTGGCCTGCCTAGCTCCTATGAACAGCCCATTATAGTAACAGATGCATCTTGCTATGCTTGCAGTTCAAGTAAATGAATGAAACAAAGCGCCATAGCCCGTTACGAATCCGCTGGAGTGGAAAACAGCTGGTATAAGCATGCAGTGTTAACTATTTCAGTATTACCCCGGCGATCTCTAGCTCTACGTACTTCTTGGACGGAGTACGTGGCTGAGAGCGTATAACTATTTTTTACGTATTTTGAAGATGGGAAAGGCTCGTTAGAGTTATCACAGGATATTGGCCAGGATAACCAAGTGCTCAGAAAGCAACGAATCTTTTATATAAATGAAATTATACGAACAGAACTTCCCTAGGCCTTTGCATTACATAAAAACGTGGAAATGCAATAGTATGCCTCCTTTTATTGAAAACAGGTTTTCTTAACACTAATCCCTCACAGTAGCAGGATTCACTCAGCAGTAACGGTCAGCGTTCCGATCTCCTACCGGTGCTCCACTGACCTTTAACTGAAGTGATTCATCTTCTTACCTGCACACCCGAAACATCCATCAAGATAGCAAAAGCAGTGTTATGATCACAATCACAGGTAACATCTTTCTCACTTGATTCAGATTTATTCAATGTGCATCCTTCACTGCTCCATTTACTGCCGTTTAGGTCAGGTTCAATGAACGCACACGTTCGTCTTGGATCTTCAAAACCAGTCTGAGAAATATACATATATTGTATTTAGACTATAAAACGATACTGAATACAATGCTACAGTTAATGCAGACAAAAACTACATCTATAAAAATGTAAATTTTAAAACGATGACTAAAAAGCGTTCGATTAGTATAGGTAATCATTTTATGCAATGGCGAGTACAATTAGGGATTAATAGTACGAGTGATGTTTGGAAATTTTGCCACAATTGGACGAGCCGCCGGGGTGAATCCAATTTGGTAAATTTCCAAACATCACGAGTACTATTAATTCCTAATTGTACGAGCAACATCGCATGATTACTTGTTCATTATTAGCATGACAAAATTGGATACTTCTCAATGTCAACATCATATTCTCTCGCGAAAGCCCAGTCCTGCCAGACTTTCAACCAAAATTTGGTGCTTTTGTTCATATTTTCATTTAGTTCTTTTGTGTTAAAACAAAATTGGGTGCTTTGTTCCTATTTTCATCTAGTTCCTCAAGGGCAATTTCATTTCACATTTGTCTTCAAAATACCTTTCCGCCATTTTGTTTGTTTTGGGAAAATTATTAATTGTACTGCAGTACAATTAATGAAATAATTGTACTCCTCTCAACCAATCAGCAT